CGTTAAGTTGATATGATATTTATGGAACATTTGAAAAATGATGGTAGTTTTAGAAATAAAATTTCAAAATATGATATCCTAAAAATTCTTTAAAAAAAAATGGTTAAATAAATTATGATCTACTATGTAACATGGGGAAAAAAACTAGGGTCTATAATTAATTAAAGAAAAACAAAATTAACGAATAGGTGGAATCGGCTATTGCCCGCAATTCGATTGGTCTGCAGGTTTTCATGGTACGGATAGGGAACATTTGCGTTAATTCATAAAGCTCCTTTTTTTGCTTTTTCTTTCTTTGATTGTAATTATGAACCATACAACTTAATAATTACGTGGCACCATTATTCTTTTTAATAGTAATATAATATAGTACTACAGTTTTCTCTACATTTACAAATTTTTTAATCATCGTAAATTTTTCTTTATTTATTAGTGTCCTGTAAATAAATGTGACATGACAATTATGGCAATTTAACGGCGTTAACCAAAAACATCACGTCATCATCACTCCGTCGTTCCCGCGGTTTCGTAACCGGCGAGCGAGTGGTAAATAAAAAGCTGAGCCGAATGTGGGTCCCACGCAGTGTCCTCGTAAGCCGAGCTTCTCCCATCTGGCGCGATCTGAGAGGGTTCTCTCCTATCGGACGGCTCTGATTCGGACGTTAAAACGCTCAAATAATACACTAATAATGTTGACGTGGAGCTATGACATTAGATAGTTTCGTGAACCGGAGCTTATCTGACCAGCCCAGAAGGTAGGAGTGGAACGAATCCGGATATCCTGGAATTTCAAGGTATCCGGATCCGGATCCGGAATCGTTGAATCTGTGAAAAAAATTATCCGGATCCGGAATTGGGACTTCCGGATATCCGGCCAAAAAAATAGATATCCACGGATATCCGGATCCGAAATTAATATTAAAATAATTAAAATAATTANTAAATAACAAAAATATGTTTTTTAAAATTATTAATTAATATTTTAAATGATATTTTTCATTATTAATATAATTTATTATAAAAAAAACTAAAATCAATTTTTATATATATTTATTTATATAAAATTAGCTTAATAGATATATAATATATGTTTTTAATATGTTTAATGCGTCCGGATCCGGATATCCGGACCTTAAAATTTTGTTATCCGGATCAGGATCCTCTTTTCACGGATCCTAGATTTTACTATCTTTATCCGGATCCAGGCTCTCCGGATATCCTAATTTTTGGAGCGATTCCGAACGGATAACGGATCGGTTCTCGGATCCCGGATAATAATTCCACCCCTAGCAGAAGGTACTGAACCATGGTTGGTATCAAAATTTCTCAGTAAAGATTTCATTATATCTTTAATTCCATAGTCATTTTTATCTTGGGTTAATTAATCTCTTTTGATTCTGTGTGTTTTTTGCTGTGGGTTAATTAATCTCTTTTGACTCTGCGTGTTTTTAGCTGACTCGGACCCGTTTTTTTAGTCCATATATCTTAACGTATCATTCAGATTTGTTTCGGCTTTGGGCCGAAAGCCCAA